GCCGGTCTCCCTGGGCACTTTTAAATTTTGGCTTTTGTTTTCAAAAACTTCAAGGTTCCATATCTTTGTCATCCGGACTCCGAATCAGGCGATTCTTGAGTATAACATTATTAATTTTTCGTTGTCTTTTCAATGGTGTGCACGGTGGCACCCATCTCTATTTTGAAATGATTATTTTACCCTTATGGTTGTACTTACCCGTTTTCAAAACTTTGCTTCCGTATTTTGTTCTTTTGGGTTCCGTTACTTCATAGAAAGTTAGTTTGGCATCTTAGGGATGATGTACATCTCTAGAGACCATGTTTCTCTTTTCATTTCCGCATTCGGGATCCGTTATCAGGTCAGCACAGACGCACTGGGTTTGTAAAACCAGAGCCGTCACACTTCATCTAAGTTAATGAATACACATATTTCGCCATCTTCTCTCATTTTTTTCCTGAAAAATGTTAAATAATGGGGTGAGCTCAACAGCTCAATAGAGAATGCCTAAAATATTAGCTTTGGACTACCTTGAGTCGAACACACAATGAATGGGAAAGAGAAGTCGGGATCATACATGGGGATATCAATAACCACAATCCATAAAATACATTATAAAATACATTCATCACAAAACTAAACCATGCATATGAATGCAACAATAACATGAATGCGATGCCATCCTGACTCTAGCTCCAATCCAACCCAACTCACACCTAAAACCGCTAACCAACTTTTTTGAGGCGAGATTGATTAGTTATCCTTAGTTCCAAATCTGGCAACCATTTGGGGCCTAGTAATCTATATTACACGTCCAAATTCGGCACACGCCCCCTCTAAGTCGAGTTAGCCCTGGGCTCGCGAAACTCGATTTCTTTCACAAATTTTTTTTTTTTTTTTCATGAAACCTTTTCCTGTTTCATAACCAAACATCTTTCCTTTCCACAAGGCTTTCCAAACACAATTTATAAGATAATTTCACCCCAATTCTCTTACCATGCCCATGCCATGAATGAAATCATGCATAATTGAAATCAACATTTTCACACTTTACAATTATACTCAATTAATCAAGTATGCTCATCATCAACATCACACATCATTATACCCATCTATGCACTTCCATGATAGCAAGTCATACGCACAATCATGCTCTTTAAACAACTTTACATCCAAGTACATATATACATACCAGCAACATCATCTTTGAACATGTTTTTTTCACATAACCACATAAACTAACTTTTACATCCCAAGATCAATATCAAAAGCATGTTTTAACATGGAAATCAAACCAATAGAACTTAAATAAAGGCAAAGCTTAATGGTTTAGACACCCTACCTCAACAAGGCAACCTAAAGCTAAGAACTCCAAACTCAAAATCCACCTAATGCTTGCAAGATCGGTATCAAAATGTAGCCCTTGACTAGTTCTCCAACTTTGCTAACTATGGCTAAGATCAAATCTTACTCTAAATTTGGGAAATTTAGAAAGAAAGAGATGAATATAGAGAGAGAAAGAGTGGTAGAGAGAGAGACATGGTGGCTGGATTAGAGGAGAAGAAGTGATGAGGATTTTGTGACCAAAAATGACTTTAGAGCTTTCTAGAGTCAATGGTCAAAAGTCTTCTCCACTAACTACACCCAAAAGTCCAAAACACCCTCCAACACTACTAAAACTTCACTCGTGCCATAAAATATCTTCTCCCACAAATCATGTATATATATATATATATGTATCACTATATATATATATATTTAAATGCATAAAAATAGTATAACAAATAAATGAGTGAAAATCTCCGGGACCCACGTGGTGCGTAAATAGAGGGACGGAAATAATAATAAAAATAAAAATACTGAGAAATTTCGGGAAAAATCTAGGGCATTACACAAAATTTGGTCAAATCAATATAATTGCCTACAGTAATCGCCATCAGAAAATTCTATAAATATGGCATTATGTTGTAACTTTAAGGGCCTCTGCAACACACACAAAAACACCACTTCAATTTATCTTTCAATTCCTGCAATTGTCTTTTAATTATATTTTCATTAATGCAATTTATCTTTTAACACTTCACATTCCAAATCATGCACTTTCAATACCTAACTTTCCAAGTCATGTACTTCTAATTCCTTACTTTTAGTCCATCACTTCAATTCTATTTCCTTCCTACCATAAGAAAAATCTTGAAGTCCTTTGTCACTAAAGGCAAAAAAGAGCATTGGGAGGTAGTTATTCCATACCTTGTTTTAGTCACCTGATTTATTCCATTTCCATTTGGAATATAGTTTGGACTTTCACTCAGAACTTCCTGAGTTCCTTGCATGCATGCACTTCCACTAGACCAAAAGAGATTTTTTGTGAGCCAAACATATTGGTACGCCTCGTGGGACCACAGGTAAAAGGTCTTTCTTATGGCATATTTAAGCTTTGAACATGAAGAATACTACCAAAGGATGGCCGAATAACTTGTAGAATACTATCAAAGGATGACAAAAGAAGAACTTGAACAACATGAGCAAAAATATGAGGAATTCATCCGAGTCTCATCAAATTTTTGATAAAAGATATGGATTTCAAATCATGCCCCCAGCAGCGGTAGAAAGAAGTGGTTTCCAGCAGCACATCCAAGTTGTTCCACAGAATCAACCACATGCACCACTGCCACCACCAGTTCAGGTTTCACTTATAGTGGAATCTCAAGTGTGGAACCTTCCAGCAACAATAATTCAACCACTTCCACCCACAGGTGTAGGTGCAGAACCCTCCTCCAATGGTAGTCTAACAACTTCTAGCTCAAGTCTAACATAATGTTCTACTTCTAAACATTCAGTAACCTACAAACACATCACTAAGGCAACCTAGGGCCTTTCTAATGGTGTTCGAAATGCAATACCCTCTAAAGAAACCTCACGACCGAGGTAACCAAATTAAATGGAGGAATAATCCTCAAGCTGACCCAAACATATTTCTAATAGTGTTTGGGGGGCAACCTCATCCAAAAGAATCTCCTGATCAAGGAGGAAATCCAATCCACCAGAGACACCTCTGTGGACCCAAACCTATTTCTAGTGGTGTTTGGGGGGCATCCAATGGCTAACCTACCCAAAAGTTGGCCAGGAAATAAAATTTCATTACCCCAACCCATGATACTTGACCATGGCCAACTTGCTGACTTCTTCCAACAAGACTTAGGCTTGGAGGTCAGCAAATCTTTTCATAAGAAACCTGTTACCCAAGGAATGACCCTAAAAGGGGGGTGAATAGGGTCATTGGCAAACTAAGAAACTTTTTCGATTTAGCTTCTTTAAGCTCCTTTTATTTGTCTATATACTTTAGAGCCAAATATGATTCATTGTGATGACTACTTTTCTAGTAAGTTGAAATAATCATTAGTTCAAAAATCTATTTTTCACACTTAGATATTTTTCATACTTAGCCAAAAAGACAGTTTTTCATCAGGTGCATACTAGGGTCCTAATGTCCTTTACCAAGGCATGGTAACAAAAGCTTTATAGATGAATAAATAAGTTCTAAGCCTTAACCTTTGCTTTCTAGAGACCAATATGAATCATATGATTGATGTGCACGGTCCTATCATTTTTAGGTCAAGTGTTGAGTTCTTTTAGAGCTTATTCAAGCTTGAACTAACTCATTCTTTAGCAATGACCTCATATGTCAATTATATACGTGAATTAAGTTCATAGTCTGTTGCTAATGGTCATAGGAACTTATGCATGATAATGATATGCATGATCTTATAGAGATAAGCTTTCAAATGAAGTTACTTCAAAAATAACTTTACAATTTAAGCTAGCACTTACCAAGCTATCTACCCTTTTTTTAAAGCTTTGTCCAAAATCGATTAGGCTTTGAGGTATTCTTGTTTTCTTCGCTTTCTTTCTTTCTTTGAGTTGCTTTCTTGATCATTGGTGTCCAAGCTATTTTTGGATGGACTTTGCATTTTGTTCCTTACAACTTCGAGTCTTCTTTGTATCCATTATTTTCCTTGATGTGATCTTGACTTATGGAATACTTGGAATGATCTTTATTACTTCATTGAGGTCATTCTTTCATGTGAATAAACTATAACACTCAATGTAAACATTAGTCCTTAAACACCATTAATGGTTTGTTATCATCAAAACATTTAGATTGTACTTAGATGAACCCTTATGGTCAACAAAACCATTATATCAACAAGAAAAAATGGTTTCTACGAGGGCCCAAAAACACCATGAAAATTTTCACGACGTATTCTAGGCCTTTGTCTATGATGGTCCCGTAAATACTCATATTTTTTTACGACCAAAAATAAATCTCGTAGAAGAGTAAAATATTCGCCGTAAAACATAGTTTTGTATGTGTAATAAATTTATTTAAGATATGCATATTTCCTCATTAATAATTAATTTATGAGGTACCTAGTTACTCGTTAATACATCGAAATATTCACGTAAATAATATTAGCTTTTCACAGCGTGTAATTTTGCTCCGTGAATAATTGAATTGAGCCCTTATTTACGGGGTTTCAAGCTCCCCGTAGATAACATATATTTTATATAAAAAATTACCCTTAAATGCTACCTAATCATTCACACAACTTGCAATTGGCATCAACTTTCATTTAATTCAAAAACATATCAACACATCCATAGTTGCAATTCTATATGTTAATGCCAATAACCATAACCAAAACAATCTCTTGAAATACCAACATTAAGTATCTCAAAAGACTTAAAATATTTTTCAATTCAAAAATTCATGATTGATCAATGTGCCAAAATAGGAAGTAAATCTGTATGTCAAAAAAATAATCAATTTCCTAGCAATTGAGTTTTAGTCTGTACTTGTTAAAAACACCACCTCATTTTCCATGGTACAAAATCCAAGCAAGTAGTTGCTGCATTACACAAGCCTCAAATTCAATATGCTAATAACAAAAGGGAAAGAACAAGATTATATTTATGAATCAAATGGAAATGATTATCATCTACAAACAAAATGCAACCAATAAACATTCAAAAAGCACCGACAAAATAAAATACATAAAACTATCATTATAACCATACAAAGACAGAAACAATACAACTACTCTATAATTTACATAAAAACTAGTCAACTCTATATTTTGCCAAAACTCAAATTTGTCCCACGTGGGAGTCGAATCCTCAACCTTCCATTGGAAAGAGAAGTTGAGACCACTTGAACTAAGCAAATCACTAAATATATCTACTAAAAGGGAAACAACGATTGCAACTTTTCTCGAATGACGAATCCTATCACGAAACTAATATTACAATGAGATCCCGCGAGACAACAGTCTTCACTTGTCAAAAACACCACCTCATTTTCCATGATACAAAATCCAAGCAAGTAGTTGCTGCATCACATAGGCCTCAAATTTAGTATGCTAATAACAAAAGGGAAAGAACGAGATTATATTTATGAATCAAATGGAAATGATTATCATCTACAAACAAAATGCAACCAACAAACAATCAAAAAGCATCGACAAAATAAAATACATAAAACTATCATTTTAACCATACAAAGACAGAAACAATACAACAACTCTATAATTTACATAGAAACTAGTCAACTCTATATTTTGCCAAAACTCAAATTTATCCCACGTGGGACTCGAACCCTCAACCTTCCATTGGAAAGAAAAGTCGATACCACTTGAACTACGCAAATCACTAAGTGCATTTGCTAAAAGGGAAACAAAGATTGCAACTTTTCTCAAATGACGAATCCTACCATGAAACTAATATTATAATGAGATCCTGCAAGACAAACAACTCTATATTTTACATAAGAACTAGTTAGTGATTCCCATGGGTAGCATATCGAAGGGTTTAATATCCAATCCATAAATATATATATATATATATATATATATATATATATATATTTATTTATTTTTATTTGGTAGATGTTTATCCCATTATAAAGGTCACATGTGGCGAGTTCCAATAAGCTTGCCACACCAGATTAGTGCTTAAATATTCAAGAGAAGAAGTTATAGTGTGGCATTATTGAAGATTTATCAATAAAAAGGAAACATGTGGCGAGTTCTAATGGAACTTACCACACTGGATCACAACTCTGGCAAGTTTAAAAAAGGAAGTCATATTGGAGTTTTAACATGCATATAATTTCACGTAGCAATCTGAAACAAGGATTAGTGGGTCAATTATATTCCACTACGTGGAATCTTTTAAAGGTAGAAAGTGGTGAGTCTTATAAAGACTTGCCAATTTAAAACAATGGCCCACGAATTCTTAAGGTGGAAAATAAGAATTGCATGGAAATAATATTATACATGCAACCTTATGTTATTATGCCAAACAAGACTCATCCAACCAATCAACTTTCAACACATGGAGTCTATGCTATAATAGTGTTGATAAGCCAATATAAAAGTGACACATGACGAGTTCTATGGAACTTACCATGGTATGTCAATTCTTTTAAGGGTTAATGTTATAAAGGATTTTTGGATGAAACCATGTATTTTTCAAATCTCTAAAAGAATGGAGACTTACCAAAATGGCAAGACTAAAGTTGACAAAGCAAGGAAGAAGGAAAACGTGGCGCTGGATCCTCTCCTAATTTTTAGGAGATTTCAACAACTACTCAGCCAAGTCAAACACTGAGCTGCAAAAAAATAGGGACGAGGGTGATTATTTATATAGCAAGTATATTTCTAGTTATGTATATATATAAAATACAACCCATGACGAGGAAGTTGCTGAAATTATGGAGCACACAACACCATGGAAGCAAAACCAAAACGGAAAGTCCAACTGTAGGAAGATATCAAAGTTAAGGGGAACGTGGGTATACAAATAATAGCTATATACATGCATGATATATATAGAATTATACAGAGAGAAGGTATCTGTGAAAGGAAAAGACTACTAAGATCATGGGACACTTGGCCAAACACAAACAAGTCAGTTGAAAGTGGTGGTATTTCATACGGTTACTACCACTAACTGAAGGAAGTTGTCAAAGATGATAGATAACAGGGGTAAATTAATGGAATCGTTTGTTTGAAATAAAGGAGAAAGACCAAGCACGAGGAAGAAGAACAAAAGAACGTGGGACACATGTAAGCTTGTGGAGAGACCAAGTGGAAAGATTCACTTCAAAAACTACCCATAATTTAAGATCATGGAAGACTAAAAGGACATGGCTCAAGTTAGGCACTAGAAGAAATCAACAGCAAAAGAAAGATGGAAAAAGATTATGGCAAAAATAGAGGTAACCGCTGAAGACATGGGACATTTGGCAGTTTCGAGCCAAGCTAAGTGGAAGTTGCTAAAGCTGCCACATCAGTTGTTGCATGCAAGAAAGCTCTATAAATAAAGTACTTAGGACTAGGATGCAAATCCTGTTCAACACACACAACAATACAACATCTTTACTTATTTCATTTCATGTATCTTTACATTTGAGTAATGTACTTTAATTATGTCTAATTTAAGTCCAGTACTTATTTTTCTTACTTTCCAGCAAGTAGTCCATAGTTCTTTCTATTCAAAGTCCTGCACTTTCAATACCGCTTTTCTTTCCACTAGCTATAAAACAGTCCCAAAGTCCTTTTTCAAGGCAAAAAGAACCTTCATACAGTCGCCTGATCCCTACAACTTCCAACTAGAATATTGTTTGCAAATTTACTTTGGAACGACAGCAGTTCCTGGCACACCCGCGACACCCACTCTTCTTTCCACACTTGGAAAGTGGAACCACGCTTTTTTGAAGAGCCAAACGATAGGGGTAAGAACCAATCCATAATGTTATTAGTACAACAACAACGTCTTTTTCCCATTTACTTGGGCTAGCTTGTAATGTTATTAGTATACGGAAATAAAAATCATCAATAGAAAATAAGTAAATAGATAAATAGAAAAATTAAACATTTATACCAGTGGTTTGTGTAAGATCAGTCTGGTACATGAGGAGAAAGAAAAGAAGACAAAGAAAAGTAATACATGAAATGATGAGACAAATTGCCCAACCTGTTACCATGACCTTAAATATCCTTCCAAAGTCACAACCACAAATTTTCTAAATAAGACAGAATTAATCGACTCCTGTCAACAGTGAAATCAAAAGGAATACTCCTAAGCACCTATTCATTTTAATTTTTAAGTCTTTCACGTCCACACACACACTTGTAATACTTAGAGTTAGGATCCTAACTGATTTAATTATAAATCCTTCACATCAGAGGGCTAAAGCAACAGAATTCCACCTCAACTTGATATGAAGCTAATTCAATCTTGTAAACACATGAAAGAGCCAATGAAAAAATATATATTCCAAGAAAAATAAATATGTTCAGAACTTTAATAAATGTATGGAAGTCCACGTGTTGTATTCCCAGTCACTGTGCAGTCAAAGTACCATAGGCACATATATATTATATGACAAATGCAAATTAAAGAGCTTGGTTTCAAAGATGGATGGACGTTGAAATTGAAAACCATGGGTTGGGTCTTTTGTGTGTACATAGAGTATAATATGGACAAAAACAAGTACTAGGAGCCAAGGACTTGGAAGATAGAAGGAAAACTAATTGTGATAGATCTAAATATCAATCTATAGAAGATAATTTAATTGGAAGTTAAAAGGACAATTATTTGTGTATTGGTCCACAAATTCGAGCTTCACGTGTGATGTGAATAGTGAAGTGAATCATAATGTCGAAAAAGAATGTAAATAATCAAGTGAATTATAATGTGAAAAGGTTTAATCTTTGGATTTGATCATATTTGAACAACATTACAACATTACTCATCTTTTCTTTGCATATGGTCCATAAGATGATCATGTACTGGGCAATTCTAATATTTGTTTCTTCTATAAATAATTCATGCATATAATAAAATAAAATAAAATAAAAAATCTTTGATCCTATTAGAATTCCAATTTGGAATAACAAATTTGTAATTGTTGGAAGTAAGGCCTAGACTATAAGTCAACCTAACATTGACTATTGGACATTTTTAGGCTACCTAACTTGCATTGTTAGGCTGCCTAACTTGCTTCTTATTGTCATGCCTATAAATATGCCCTTTGTACTCACACAAAAGATAACTTCTACAAGATACAATCTGAATAATAGAAATGTAGTCTTTAGTGGCTCTTGATCCATAGATGTAGGCTTTAGTGCCGAACCATGTAAATCTTTGTGTTGTTCATCTTTCGCTTATTCTTGATCATACATTTTATATATGTTCTTATATAAGAAATTCCACTTGGTATCAGAGCAAGAAATTCCATTTGGTATCAGAGCCACCGTCGGAGATGGCGGTATAAGCCTCATTTCCGGCAGCGGTCCATCATCATCCCATTCTTGCAGATTTAAGGTCTCTGTCTCCGTTGCCATTCCATTCTGGTAGCTATCATCACTTGTTTGGTGTCATTTTTCAGATTTCTCTTTCATCGTTTGATTTAGTTGGAGCACTCTGTTTTGGGCTATTTTTTTTTTGCTCTAATACCAAGTGGAATTTCTTATATAAGCACATACAAAAAATATAAGATCAAGAATAAGCGGAAGACGAGCAACACAAAGATTTACATGGTTCGGCACTAAGGCCTACATCCATAGATCAAGAGCCACTAAGGACTACATTTCTATTATTCATATTGTATCTTGTAGAAGTTATCTTTTGTATGAGTACAAAGAGCCTATTTATAGGCATGACAATAAGAAACAAGTTAGGCGGCCTAACAATGTCCAATAGTCAATGTTAGGCAGCCTAACATTGACTTATCCTAGTCTAAGTCTTACTTCCAACAAGTAACCCTCAGCTGTCACATACACACAAACATAAACAAAATAGATAAATAATAACAAATAAGCAGATTACTAAGGCTGCATTTAGAAATGAGAAACGTTTCTTGTTCTCTGTTGTCAACCTCTAAAAAGGTAAAACGAAAACAAAAATCGCGCTCAATAAAATGTTTTTGTTTTCTATAACAGAAAACGTTTTCAATTTTTGTGAAGAAAAGAGAAAACGTCAAAATGATATTTCTTATGTTTTCGGCACTATAGCGCAGAAATGTTTTCACTAGTGTTACTGCACATGCACTATTCATTTCAAATAAAATTCATATTATTTGTGTTATATACTGCTAAGTTGCATATTAAATGTTAAAAAAATATATATATTTTTAATATAGAATAAATTAAATATTGTATATTATTTTTTATTTGATAAAAATATATTTTAATGTCTAATGTATTAAATAATAATGTAAATTATTTTTTGTGACAAAATAATTTTGGATATAAAATATAATGTTATTAAATTATTAAACAGTAGATATTTTATATTATTATATATGATATCTATATTTTATTATATGTAAATATTAAATTATAATTAATTTATAATATTATAACACAATATATATTTTATTACATATAAGATATATTATTTAATATTTTTTATTCATAATAAATTATCATATGCTAAATATATTATATATCACATAATAAATGTATACATCATGCATATACATGTATTTATATACATAATTGGTGGGAATGTTTTTGTCTTGATATATCTAATTTTATACTTATGATGTATTGGGTATTTTTAAGATTTATAATTTTAAATTGAATTTTCTAGATTTATGTCTTTTTGATATTAATGGAAGCAAGTGTCGTGCCTGAGTGGTTGGGTTACTCTCTATGTTTGAGAGTTCGTGTTCAAGTCATTTACCCTCCCCCACACCCTCCCCTCTAATCACTAACTCCTAAAATTTTTGCTATGAAAAAAATAAAATAGAAATGAAAAAAATTAAAAATTAAAAAATTAAAGAATATTATGTACATTTTGTAACAAATATGTTGTATTACTAAACACAGTTATTTTTTGTCTATTTTCAAATTTGTGACAGTAATAAGTGTTAATAAACATCATTTTTGTTTTCTATTTTCACTAAAAAATGCAAAATCATGTTTCTGTTTTCTTAATACCGCAAAAACAGAAAACGAAAACGTTACTAAACCAACCCTTAATAAATCCATATATAAAATATTCACAACTTAGTTTTGAAATGAAACCTTAATAAGGAACCAGGAGAAGTAACATTAGAATGCCATTTACTGCATACCTTCCCCCTCCTGACTACTATCATTCTCAATAGCATTTGAACTGGAAACTGGTGTCTCAGCTGCTGACGCAGGAGGCAATGCAGAGTTCACTTGGTGCTCTTGGGTCTTTGGTACAGATCACCGAGAAGCAGGTGCAGGAGATGAAAAAGTAGCAGTACCCTCTTTCCTAACCATCACCTGAAACAACGATACCATTGTTTATTTGACATTTCAATCGATATACAAGCAGGAAACAACCAATAGACTTAGCAGATGACATCATATGTCCTTACAAAGAATAATCTGATTTTTTTCCCCTTACTTGCAGGGATTAACTTACCTTGGTAATATTAGTATATTATCCCTTGGAGTTCTCTACATATAATTATGTGTATGTATCATTTGGACATATTAGCAAACTTCCTCAATGACCACTTACAATGGAAGCATGAGATTTCTGTGGCAGTTCTTCAACTTTGGAGTTCGATTCAACGACCATCCGTGAATCACCCTGTACTTCATTAACAACCTCGGGTACTGGCATTTCATCTTCCACAGCCAACACTTCTCCATGGTTGGAGGAATTGTAGACTTCTTCCCCATTCACTTCCTCAGCCAAAACAATTGTTTGCTCAGAAATTTGGTTCTCCTGAACAGTAGAAGGTTCTGGCAACCAAAAAAATTATCAACAAAACAAAACAAAACAAAAATTATAAGCATAAATCTGAGCTGTCCATTACCCTGCTCAGGGGTGAGAGGAGCCTCCATATCACTAGTTGAACCAGGACTTTTTTTCTTTTTTTTTTTCTTTTTTTTTTTTTGTGGAAGTTAGTTGAACCTGGACTTCCATCATGGTGATTGATGTCTTCCACATATCGAAGCATGTCATTCAAGACAATGTAGCCTTTCTCTTGTGGTGCAAGGAAGAAAGTTTGAGCAAAATGCCGAATCAAATCATCCGTCCACACCATATAACCAGTTACAAGGACATGAACTCCCCCGTCAAAAGACTCTTGTGCATCCACAGATGTGATAGCCGTCCTGTACTTGTCATAGTTGAGTGACAGTATCTTCTCATTGATATTCTATGCATTGAGATAGGGCCAGACACAAAGAGACTTCAGAATTGCAAAACTCCCAAGTACTTTCACTCTAATTTTCACTAACCTTCTTTTTAATTGCTCAAAATTAGTAGCAAAATAAGAAATTAGAAAATTTTGACTCACAAATTTTTCATTATTCGGGTGACCTAGAAAACAAAATTCCACATTCTAATTAGCCTAAAACAACTACCTGGCTCAGTTGAGAATGGGTTTTTATTCTTTTCAAAACCCAAAAACAGCACAAAACATGAAATTTAGTTTATTTGCTATTTCTCTAATTCACTTAACTCAGCAAACGGATGGAGCATAAAGTAGTTCACTATACCAATCATTTAAAGCTTTAAAACGAGAAAACACTAACGTTTGGGGATTAAATGAACACCTAAAGTAATTGCAAATTTTTATGCGTTAATACAAATCTTATATATAAATATAGGGGTGTGTGTGTGTAATAGAGAGAGGGAGAGAGAGAGAGAGAGAGAGAGAGAGAGCTTACGTTCATTGTTGTAGTGATACTGATGGTACCATTGTCCTCAGGACGACCAACCATACTGATATCCTGATAAAATCGATAAACGAGCCCTGGCGATTTGCGCAGTGTACGGTAGTATTGTTGAGCAAAAGCATTACCAACCTAACACCACACAGAAAAATTCACTCAAAATTAACCAATCATAACCACTAAAATACATGGTCAATTGAAATTCAATATATATGATTATGAAATCAAACCAATACATACAATTTGAGCAGAGGCTGGTTGCTGCACCGTCGCCGCCATAACTGATCGATCTCAAAAGCAACCAGTGTTAGAAATGTGGCTAAAATTAATCAAGGGAAGAAAGGCAAAGTGGGTGCTTGTGTCCGCAGATGCACACAATCTAGAAGAAGCTGACATACTGTAAAGGAAAGGTGAAAGAAAAGAATTAAATGGAATAAAGAAATGAAGAAAGAAGTGGCTGAGGTGTTCTAATGACAGCAAATGGAGAAAACAATAAAGAAATGAAAAGACAAAAGCAAAAGTAAAGAAAGGAAACAAAAACGTGGTGGAAAGAAAAGTCAGAAAAAGAAGCAAAATCAAGAGGAGCATATGATTATGGCAGTAACTGAGGCCTATATATAGAGGCGCAATGAGCAGATATAAGGTATATCCGAGGAAGAGAGAGACATATCTTGTATTCGGATCTAGAGAGAGAAGAGGAGGAGAAGAGAGATTGAGAAAATGTAAGTGGTTGGTGAATGTTGCGAGGAGAGGTAGAAAATATATGTAATTTTAGAATGTATAGAATCAGTCTTAGAGCATCTCCAATGCTAAGAGCATCTTCAACCCTAAAATGTTAAATTCGGATGCCAAATTTATATTTTGACAGTGTTACAGTGTCAAAATGCTACATTTTAGCAATTCTGCTCCAATGGTGTATTTCATGCAAAATGTTAATTTTTGACACAACCACCATTCTTTTTCAACTACCATTCCCACCATCCAAAGCTCCAATTTTTTTTTGAACCAACTCAATCCATACCATCAGTTAATATCACTGAGTCGTTGATAGTGTGTTGGAAGCTTCAAGTTGTAAAGAACATTTTAAAAGAAACAAAAATTAAACTGCTAATGCAAATGCTTTTATTTAAATTATATTTGCTTATGCTCTTCTTCTCTATCCTCATCATACAGAGAAGACATTGACCTTTATAATTATTCATGCAACTGGTTTCAGACCTTCCCATTATAAAATGCACACCCATCTCAGAAACCAAAAACCAAACCAAGATTCATAGTACAGGACTACAAAATAAATAAATAAACAATTTCTAATCAGACTTCTGAGTTATGAGTAATCCAAATCTGTTACTCGGAAACAGCAAATTTAAAAACTTTATGATTCGGTTCAGCCCCTGATCACTTATCATTTCAAATAGCCAATCTTGAAGCTCCAAAAAAAAAAAATACAGAACTAAGATAAGAAGATCCAAAAGATATCAACCCATATCAGATAACATTTTGATATAAAGTATACATAATGATAACGATATGGTGGTTCAGTGAAATTGAATGAACGTAGAAGATGTACAGAAGTAGAGAGCGTTGTTTAAAAACATTAGGGAATATACACGTATATGTACAGAGAGAGAGAGAGAGGTGAGGGAAGAGTTTTAGAGAGAGAGAGAAAGAGGTACCTCTAATTCGTTGAGAAACGCTCTCTATCTGTTCTCAATTTGCCACTGCAAATGCACGCGAGGGGGTTCGGCGAGTGGACTGTGTTTCCCCAATTTCGGTGGATTATTGAGTCTAACCATAAAGGGGGTTTATGAGTCTAACGACGATGAGGAAGAGCAATGGATTGACGGTGACTCGACGACGAATCGGAGAGACAACGATGAGGAAGAGATTAACTACCGTTTCTATTGCCACCGTTCCTCTCTCTCTCTCTCTGTTGCCCTAGACAAATACAGGCGAAATTGGAGCCGTCCCTTCTTTTCTGTAACCCAGCCCATATAGCAATTGCTATTTGTTTTGCTACAATTGGCATAAAAAATAGTAAAGTTCAAAAATAGCGGCCCAAATAGCATTGCATTGGGGAGCCTAGTTTTAAGCCCACCTGCCATATTTTGAATTAGCAGCCCAAATAAGAGGTGGGTTGGAGATGCTCTAAAAATTTATTTTCGCATGCCAAATCTATATTTAGACAGGTGTTACAGCGCCAAAATGCTACATTTTAGTAATTCTGCTTCAATAGTACATTTCAGGCAAATGCTATTTGTTAACACAATCACTATTCTTTTTCAACTACCATTCCCACCATTCATATTTGCATCAGTAATATTAATATTAGGCACATTCCAAGTCTAGTTGTAAACATTAGAAGGGAACTAAAATTAAACCTAATTAAAAAGAAGTACAAATCTAAAATATCTGGACAAAAAAATAAATAAATAAATAAAATTATAATTTTTTACCACTATTTGTGAATTAATTTTTTTATATAATTTTTTTTTAAAAAATGAATTTTTATAATATACATATAGAGATGCGAGTGGGTGATGACGGGTGAGAAACGGCACCATTTTGGAAAATGAGAGACTTGCCAAAAAAATTTGGCAGCTGCCATATATGAGAAAAAATTTGAGAATTTCAAATTTTGAGAGCTCAAATAAGAGCTTATTGGAGAGGCCCTTTTTTACCCAACTCTCATATTTTGAGTTTGAGAGGCCCAAATGAGAGAGCATTGGAGTTGCTCTTAAAAGAGATAAGTTGAGTGGTTTCGATATCTAGTTATATATTTTCTTTCTTAATTCAGAATAGTGAAATCTCTCTTTGTGGACGTAGGTCAGGGAGACTGAACCATATAAAAATATTGTGTTGTGTACGGATATGTATGCTTGTTATCACTATATATATTTATGTTTATATTTTGATTGTGTATGACGAATGAGGGATTTAACCTCTCAACAATAATCGACCGATTGAAGGGAATTATTTTTCCAACAACCAAAACCCTAGAAAAAGAAAAAAGGGGACGATAATTTAACCATTAAGCAGACTACATTAAAATTTGCATCCACCCTAAATTGCAAAAAGGGGGTTTGTACAACTTATCCTTAGCTTGTAAAAGCTAGTGTACAAATAAGATAAAGATTGATTGGTTCGAGTACAGGAGCTTTATACCTGAGTTGGTTGGAATCGGAGAGATTCGTAGAAGCAGCAATGTGTGAAAGTGATTCTCTCTCTACCATTTATCCTCTTTCGCACTTTCTAGGTTTTGTAATATATAGAGGCTTTATATATGTGTGTGAACGGAAAGTTCTAGGTTTTGTAATATATAGAGGCTTTATATATGTGTGTGAACGGAAAGGAAAAGAAATGAAAAGGAAAACGAGGGAGATGAAAGAAATTCTACTTCTTTTCATAAGCGGGAGGAATAGGAAGGAAATAATGTTAAAGAGAATTTTGTTTTCGTTGAAAGGAAATGAAAAGGAAAACGAGGGAGAGGAAAGAAATTCTACTTCTTTTCATAAGCGGGAGGAATGGGAAGGAAATAATGTTAAAAGATAATTTTGTTTTCGTTTTTATAATAAGTGAAAATTTATGTAGCATTTTTTCACACACATGATAAGATATTCATTTTTTTTTTTTTCTCTTGAATATTTTTTTTTTTTAAGGGTAAAATACAATGACACCCCTGAGATTTGCCATAGAGACAGTCATATATAAGTTGGCCTATTTTTGGATAATGACACCCCTGTTATAATTTTTTATCCTAACAGACCCTTGAAAGGTTAGAAAAGACAATATTGCCCATGAATATTTAATTGATTTTAATTGTAAAAAAATCAAAATACTAAAAGGAGGTTTTTGCCCTTCAGCACATTATCTCTCCTTAGTCCTCTTTTCTTTCTCTATCCTCTGTATCTTTCTTTCTTAGGATTTGTTTGGATGCATTAGAGAAAAAATAAAAGAAAGGATAATATTAGTTATGAAAAAAAAAAAGAAAAAAGATAACAATAATCTCTATTTATGTTTGGATAAATAGAAGAGAAAAGAAAATAAATGATAGTATTCTTGTTTGTATATGATAGATTGAAGAAAAGAAGAGAAAGGATAATAACCAAATTACTGTCATATCCTTTTAAATAAAAGGGATATGAGTAGAATAATAATTTTCTCTTGGGTTAAGTGCAAGAAACACCCTCACTATCTAAAAAAAAAAAAAAAAACCCTTACTAATTTTATTGGTACAAAAAACCCTCTATTATTTATTTTTTTTTTTATGCAAATTGCCCCCTAATTAGCCATTTTGACTAAATTTTTTTTATAAAAATTCCAAAATGCCCTCCTAATTCGGTGAAAGTCTTTGCCGACAAACACCATTTCTGGCCAAAGCAATCGCTCGTCGTCCTCCACCTCCTCATCCTCTACCGCCCCTCCATTATCATTGAACCTACTCTAATTACACAACAATGAACCAAAAAGGAATAGAGAGGGGTCTCTAGTTTAGACTGAGAAGCTCTATCACCAATGGCAGTAATTTCGGCGAGCACGGATAATGACGGAGCTTGGGATATGCCGGCGGTGCAATTAGCCAGGATGCAATGATGATTGGCAGGCAAAGAACCACGAATTGTGGTAACTGGTCCGAGGTGCATGATATTCGGTGTTGAAGCGTCGATGAAGGATTGAAGCAACAGCAATGAGATGTGGGTCGATCGCAATGGTGAACAACTCTGTAAAGATGACTGGGTTGATTGTACGGCGATTCAAAAAAGAAACATTGTGGGTCTTTTCATCTCTATCTTTGTCTTTGTTCATGCAATGAATTTCAAATTTCATACTCTTCGGGGAAGTGATTTAATTTTATATTATAATTTTGCATTCCTGAGTGAGATGGAAGATGTCGAGGATAATAGTTGTTGTGCTCCAGCTACTATCAAATTTTCAACTCTCAGGTTTTTCCACTTTACACATCTCAGACTATATACCAACTTAAATATGCTTAAATATTTAGAAGAGATGCAGAATTTAGCTTAAATATGCTCATGTGCCTTTTTAATTGTCCTTATGCCTTTGGATCTACATGCTTAACAGATCCCCTCTCTTCCTTTTTGGTTCATTGATGAGTTAATAGAAGTGGGTTCATTGATAAGGGAGGCGCGACGGAGGATGAGGAGGTGGAGGACGACGACGATAGCTTTGGCTGGAAATGGTGTTCATCGGCAATGACTTTCACCAAACTAGAAGGGCATTTTGGGATTTTTATAAAAAAAAATATTGGCCAAAATGGCTAATTATAGGGCAATTTGCACCAGTAAGTGGTTTTTTGCACCTTTTGTATATTGTGAGGGTGTTTCTTGCACTTAACCCTTTTCTCTTTTTAATTATCAAGGGCAATTTAGGGATTATGAAAATACTACTTAAACAATATCATTATTCTTCTTATCTTCTCATTTTTTGAGAGATAGGAAATAAGGGATGGCTATCCTTCCCTATCCTTTCTGTTCTCTCCTTTTAAAGCATCCAAACACACTTAAGCCCTATCATTTCCTTTCTTTTCTTCCCTATCCCTCCAAATTATCCCATCCAAATGCACTCTAAACGTTCAAAAGAAGAGGCTGAGATATGGGGTTAGGTGTGATGTGGCTCAGTTCTGGTTCACCATTGACGGCACACAACTCCAAC